CCCAATGGTAAATTTGATAGACCAAAGCGAATGACTGATGCGTAATGAGATGCTTCTGGTAATCATGCCTTTCTCGAAATAAGTCACCACAAATGAAGCATAAATGGTATTGCAGATCAGCAGCTGTTTTGCGCTCATTATTCCTATAACGTAACCATATACATGAAATACACTCCAGTAAGGAAAGAATAAAAAAATAATAAAAAAACTCAGAAAATCAACATAAAAACAGAAGTGATTGAAAAATTACCTTAAATACATTCCCATCGTGATTTGTTGCTGTTTCTGACTGACGTGGTTCTGAAAAATATCGACAAAATTCGACAAAATACAGAATATTCATACTGTACTCAATCCAAAAAACTCAGATAGCCATCGGTGGAACGCGCAAAAAATGTAGAGAAGAAGCAGCAAAAAATTTTATGATCAAATTGAAATCCACAACAATAACAAAATAACATGAACTGCTAACCTAATTTCCTAAACTATTGCACTGAATAAACATGACAAACCTAACAAAGCTCAGAAGAGACGGTTATAACGTGAGCATAAGTTGTATATATGAGGTGCCTAATTTACACTGAATCATATAGTTCCACCAAAACGAGCTTCTGGCGACTTGATCGTGGCTTTCTCGTACTCCAAACGTTCCTGTTCGCGTTGCAATAATCGTATTCGATTCGATAGCTCCAAGTGGTACTCCGCCTTATCACCATACTGACAGTACAAGTCGAAATCGGGCGAAATCTTTCGTTTGATATCGTAGATAATGTCGTACGTGGGGAAGGCGAATTCTCTAAAACAAAAGGAAAGGAATACAGCGGTCACTGTGCATACTGGGTCCATTCAAAAATTCTTCCTATTCAACAAAAAATTCTTCCTATTCAAATCCTATTTTTTACACTGAAAGGGTCTGTTGTACTATTCAATAGAGAAAATCAATGTCTACAAGATGGCCTCCTGACTTTTGCATAAGATCTCATCAAAGTGAAGCTAAAGATCTAATAATATCTAAAATATCTATGCAAAATCTAATAATATTTTCGTCCCAAACAAAACTACAGGCTCCCGCCTTGCTCAAGTATTACTGTCTCATATGCATGCACATAAAAAA